GTTTTACAGGCCGGCCCAGAAATCAAATTGGGCTGTATGTTGTTCGCTTACTAAAATGAGCTTGACACCCCTTGTGTACGTAATCGATATAATGCTTTATAAGCTGATTGTATCATTAGAAAATTAAATTAGAACAGTACTTTCCTATTCATACTATGATGAAACTCTGATCCCTTGTCCATTCTAATGGATGAATGTTTTTGAAAAAAATCCTGGGTAAAAGCTATAAATCTTTCATATGATTTTTTTGACATGTATAAGTAATATAACCTCTCATGTTTACTTTATAAACAGTTTAAATTATGTTCTTTAATATTATGATTAATAGAATTAAATGTGCCTTGTACTTCCTCCTTGCCTCACTGTCGGCCATGCTTGTTTAAAAAGAGACTACTGCAGTCCAGTTTAGATGATGTGTAACACTATGATTGGTTTACAGACATCCCATCAAACAAGCCAGTGCAATTCAGTGAAACGAGATGACAGTAATTATATATCTAGAGATCCTAGAAGAGCTTTGGGCATTGGAATGGACAGGGGATTGGAACAGGTTAAAAAAAACAACCTACCTAAAAAAATGTATTTCAGTCTAAGTGGATGCCATATTGAGAATATGTTTACCACTTTACCTTGCCTTCAGACAGCCCTTTCCTTTGGCACTACCTTTTCTCAACCGTATAACTTCCATATTCCTATGCCTAAGTACAACAGTGCCATGTAAGGTCAGGTGTTTGGGTCAGAAAGTGCTGTTGCCTGATCCAACTGAAACAAAAATTCAATTTTCTATAGATTTACGATGGTACATATTTGTGTTTTTCCAGGCTGTTCGAACACAGAAATGAAAACAGCTGTAACTAGTTACACTGAATATAGACATCAACACTCCACCCGCAAGACTGAGACAACTCTGCGTTTGCAGTGAACATTTCTCTCAAGGGGATTATGTAAAACCACCTCCAAATAAGCCAGAGGGACACTTGCTGAAGAGTAAAATAAAATAACACCTAAGACCTACAAATAAATGAAATGACTTACCAAACAACCAGTGAAATGGGATTCTCTGGAATCTTCTGATTCAGAAAGATCCTGAAGTTGTGTTGTAACCAAGTCCAGACAGCAGTAGCTCTCTGGGTCTGTCAGCATGTATTACAGTTCACAGCTAGCTTCTGCTCTGTCTGGGCCTCCATTTCCACAGACGTTTCCCATCTCTTTTTCGGCTGATCAGTCTCCCTACGCAAAAGTTCTTCCTTTGTACTCCGGATCACGAAAGGTATCATTTTGTCTCCACAGTGAACAGCATTTTGTCATAATCACTGTTTTTTAAATTTACATATATTTGTTGTCTCCTCTATAAACCATTGACAATCTGACCCAAACCACTGACTGGCATTATAGACTGTGTGGTGCAGTTGTGCTCACACAAAGGAATGCAAACGTTATACGGTTGAGAATGTAGTGCCAAAGGAAAGGGCTGTCTGACAGCAAGTAAAAATATTCTCAATATAGTTTTCACTTAGACGGATATTGATTTTTTTACGTAGGCCTTTTTTTTTTTAAGTGGTGCTAACTGCTGACCCCAATCCACAGCGTGCATTGCTGAGCCTCACTGGTGGGACCTCCATCTGCTTCTCTGAACATGGAGCATTCTGATGGCTGTCTACTGTTTGTAATACACTATAAGTAGCTCATACAGCTCCACTTCAGATATTCAGAACTGTCTCTTTAATACACATTTAATGCTAAAGTAAGTGGCCTATTTCATGTTGTTAGCAAGTTTTTTTCCCTTCAACAACAAACACTCATGGTTAGGTTTAGACAACAAAAGCATGTGGTTAGGTTTAGGAAGGAAGAACATCCACCACCCCTCCCGTCTGCCCCAGTCGGACTTTTGTCACCTTAACTTTCATCCTTGTCCCGTCACATTTCCCCCTGATGCCACTATAACGGCATGGCCGTGTATCATGCTGACGTTAAAGGCGCCCTTTTTTGTTGGTTTCTGATGCCGTAAGTCACTGCCCAAGTGCTGGATTTCAGTGACTTGAGAGTGAGACCAAGCTCAAGTGGAATAACCAGTACATCCTCATACAGAATATATATATATGACCGTCGGAGAGTACCAGTGATAGGTGCACTGCATTGTGAAATGGTCACAGTAACCAAAACTACTTGGTTAGGTTTGGCAAAAGGAGGATAATAATAATAATAACAATAATAAAAAGGATCATGGTTTGAGTTAAATTAAGTGTGTTTGTTACATGACTTAAATAAAGTCCTTAAAGTTAATTCTGCTCAGAATGTGATTTCAGTCAACTACTGTGTACATTTAAATAAATCAACATTTTTGGTTTCACAGGGGACATGACCAGCGGTGTCCTGGGTCAGAGTCCTGGATTTGTCTGACCCATCCACCCACCCCGTCACCTTACTTCTTCCTTTGCTCCCATAATAATTGCTACGGCCGCTAGAGGTTGTCGCCTTACAGTAAACGTAAACATGGGTCATAATCAGGCCTCCTTTAAAGCCAATTTTCATAGTGACCAAATAGTGTAATTACATCCGTCACATGATGCCCTGTGGCCCATATAGACTATTTCCATTGATTTACATGGTGAAAGAGACGTCTGTAAATCAGTGGATACATTTTTTTGAGCATCTAAGCCCCGTGAAATGACTCTTTCACTACCTGGAATTGATCCATTCAGTCAAATAACACTGGAAAATCTAGAAGAGCTGCATGATTGAATCATTTTTATCCCTCTTCAAGTTAGCAGAGCACGGAACTTGAAGCAAATTTGCGAGAGGAGAGGATAGGATAGGATAGGATAGGATAGTGAAGGAATGGCCTGCTTTACTCTGCCTTGCTCTGCCTTTAATTGGCTCACCCTGACTTTGTAATCCTAACCCTAACCCTGTCCCACTCTTTTTGCCTAAACCTCACCAATCCAACCAACAAAGGCAATGAGCACAAGTCAGTCATAGGGAGAGTAAGCTGGATCATTCCTTCACTATTGTAGAATTTGCAAATTTGCAAACTGGAAGCAGCCGGCTTGGTGGGTGGAGGTCTCCAGAGCGCCTGCTCAATAGGCCACACAGTGTGTACACAGTGCTGATTATCTGGGTATTCTTATATGCAGTAGTTGAACATTTTTGGCTTCACGTGCTACTGAGAAACTTTCATAGGAATGAACAGGTCCTCGCTTTCAACACTGTGTTTAATTCTCTTTATATATCCATGGTAATATGGAGGAATAAGCTAAATTAGGATTTGAATTAATTCATACTTGCTTGTTAGTAGGATCAATTTGCAGCTGCTTTTGGTCTTTTCAACAGTGAGAGAAATAACGATCTATCGGCAGCCTAGGTCTTTAAGATACTGTGGTACTGTGTCTAGTTGTGCCCAGTTGACAACCAGCCTGAGGGCTACCCAGTGCTCAGTCCTGACGGAGAGCAGCAGCAGCAGTATCAGTAAGACAGCTAGTAACAGCTGTTAAGGTGGAGAGGTGAGACTGAGAAAAGCCAAATGAGGTCCTTTTACTAATTAAGCCTGGGCTCATCCCTCTCTCTCTCTCCTTCTCTCCCCCTCTCTCTCTCTCGCACTCAGCTGCAGCAGTGTTATCGGTATGCACCTCATTCTGCTTCCTCTCCGTTCCACAGCAGCTCCAAGGATTCTGCCTCAAACATAGCAATTCAGCTAAAACACCGCACAAATACCACTGGCGTGCCAGCAGTCAATGTCAGCCCCTTTCCCTCAGAATGGCTCAGAATTCATGAATATCAAAATGCATGACTTAAAACATATAGAGAGACTTTGGCTTCGTAGTTGGAGCTGGATAGAATTAATGCGGCTAGTTGTCCCAGCATAATCTCTGCTCTTTCTATGTATTACCACATACCTAGACACATTTGCTTACGGCTTATTTCATGCTCAGTTGCTCTTCACCTCCTGTTTAGGGCTCCCAATCACTCTGTTGGAAATTAGCTGTGTTCATTGTGTTTGACAAATTAATCAATATGGTGAACTATATTCTTAAACAAGTGCAGACAGGACATTACAGTTAATTGTTGAGTCAGTCAATATTATGTTATCTCACTTTTTGAAATAAGCTATAAATGTCAACACGACTGCAGCCCATTAAGCCGAGCTCAGCGATGACACCGAACATTTGGTGAGAAGGAAATGAATGGAAGTAGGCCACCGAACGCAGCAAAGCATCATACCAGGCATTTGAATTTCAAGATGCCGCAGTAAATCAAGTTAAGCAAGAGACAGAAACAAACACATTGACTGCAGCTTTTCAAAAATGTGCAGTCTCTGCAACGTCTGCAGTTGATCCTGGGATTTCATTCCACTTGAGCTGTTGTATATTGACTCCTCACAGTGCAGAAAACTATTTAAAAAAAGTGAGGCGCTTTTACTTTTGATTAAAACAAACCAATGAGGTATTTAGTGGACCTTATTTTAGAGAAAGTTCTGGTGCACATCCAGCACTTTGCAAAAGCTGCAGCAGATCTGGCTTTATTTTGAAATTGATATCTGTCAGCTATAGTAGATCATCTTTCCAGACTGGAATTATGTTCTATTTTCAAATCAATTTCTGCTTTTGTACAGTTGACTGTGATTCATTTAAAAAAAAGCAGACATTGATCCGGATGCTTTGTTCCATGAGAGGAGCAGGAGCTTAAGAGTGTTAGATTCAGGTCCTACTTTGGCCATTTTCCTCTTACTCAGTCGCTGCTGGGAGTGATTGATGCAGGGAAGTGTTACAGTAAGAAGCAGTATTGATTTCCTAACACAGCCCTATGAATACTCCTTGTCCTGATGATCCAATTCACTGATCCTACAGCCTTGCGTCATACTCAGCGGGATGTTTGCTTGTGGCTCTGAAGTCGCTTGAATTTCATACACTGTTCTAGAGGCTAAATGAAACAAACTCCACACCTGGGATAAAAAGTAACAAAAATACTGAGCGCATAACCCCAGTTTAATTTTCTCTTTCCAGATGGACTGGCTCACACCTGAGATGTGAAGTGTGTTATGTGAGCCAAGGTGTTTTCCCACCTCGCTGGTGGTGGGGAGAGATGCTGCACTCCGTTGCCATGACAGCAGAAGTTCTCTTTGTTCTGGGGTTCCTGATGAGCGCTGCTCAGTGTAATCCTATAGCGACCTTACCAGCGAGCCGAGAACGCCTAGAAAGAGTGTTGACCCAAGCCAGGGAGGACAAACACCAGGACATGCAGGCCCCCGAGGAGCCGCCGGGATACGGTGCTCAGCAGAGGCCGGAGGAAATCAATTCTTGGGGCCTCAACAGGACTGCTGTGAGCCGCGCCAGGCCAAACATCAACTCCCAGGCACGAGGATCTAAGGGCGCGAAGCCCCAGGAGCTGTGGACTGAGCAGGACACCCTGAACCAAATAGACGAGGGCCCCACCAGTGACGTCACCCTCTCCCTGGATGCCATCGACGAGTACGCCTACCCAGACTACAGGGGGAAAGGCTGCATGGATGAGAGCGGCTTTGTATTTGCCATCGGTGAGGAGTTCACCCCGGGCCCTTCAACGTGCCCTTGCCTCTGCACAGATGAGGGCCCTCTGTGCACCAAGCCAGAATGTCCCAAGGTTCACCCTCGCTGCATTAAAGTGGACACTAGCCAATGTTGCCCTATGTGCAAGGAGAAAAAGAACTACTGCGAGTTTCGTGGCAAAATCTACGCCTCGCTAGAAGAGTTTAAGGTGAGCCCATTAACTGCATTCACTCATTTTTGACATCCTCAAAGTTGAAAGAAGTGCTGACAGAACACTCCTGGCTGTTCAATGGAGTTTATCACAGGCACTACACAGAAACTAGTTACCTTGCCTCACAGCATGCGAGTGAGCAGGCAGGCAGATTTATAATGGCAAAGGTCAGCACTTGTCTTTTTTTCTCACACAACGGCTGAATATTACCGCAGGCTGCCTGCTTCAGCAGAGAGTTTCCATATTCAGTTTGTTGATACACATGATGATAGCGTTACAGTTATAGTAATGTTACAACTCTGCAGAGCACACTGCTGCATGTGGGTGTTTGTGAAGAGACAGAAGAAATGCACCAGCAAAGATCTTTAATGTTTTATCTTCTGACACTTCTTTGAAAGGCTCGACTCAGGATTGCACCACAATCTGGGTGTTGCATCTACATTTACCGGTTTCTAATACCTCTCATTATGTTGGCGAGTGTCTCAGCAGGAGGTTAAGGCTAATATGGGATTTTCCTCCTCTAACTCACTGTATTACCGACAGTTCTATGTCAAGCCTCTGCTGAGGGAAATCTGCAGGAAGCTCCACTTTCACAAGAGGCATACGTCAGCCTTTGTGCTGTGCTGTGCGGTGGGGTGGGGTGGGGTGGTGGGGTGCTTTGAAACTAAGCAACAGGCAGGTTTTTATGCCTGATTGCTAAGTTCTTGGGCATTGTACTAAGTGCTGCCTCGTTCCATTTTTCACAGTGGAGTGCCATGCGGAGGCGCAAGCCTCTGCAATCTACAGCACTGTTGGTGGAATTAACCTTTGCTCTCTTGTTAAGATTAAAGGTGTATGGCTTTATACAAGCGGCTGCTAAATGAAGCCTTTCACAGGGAATGTAGAGGCTGGATGTAATTTGAACTGTATACTATCAGTCCCAGCTTTTGTCCCACATTTGTTCTATTTTCAGACATACAGAAATGCTTGGATAACCAATCATTTCTAATGTTTCTGTTCACGCACCAAGAAAATTGGAAGCTTCTTTCTTTTGTTTCCCATTGCTATTGATTTCTCCATTTCCCCTGATTGGATAGTGAAGTTCAATTCTCAACTCAGCTCTCTCTAAAATGAAGCATTCATTGGCAATGAAGTTGAGAAGGATGGGACTTCCCTATAGATGTAGCTCTGTGACACTGAATGCACACTGTATTGAACAAGTCAGACAGGCAGGAGACTGTGTGTGTGTGTGTGTGTGTGTGTGTGTGTGTGTGTGTGAGACAGGGAGACAGAGATAGCTGTAGAGAGACCGGGCGCTGGAAAAAGAGAGACAGACACTGAGACAAACAAAGAGGCAGAGGCAAAGATAACAAGAAATTAATTTAGAGGAGAAGACTCTTTGTTGTCTGTGTGTATGTGTATCTGTGTGTGAACTGTTTATAAGGGTGTTAATTACTCTCTGCTATCCAGGTGTCTCCATGTGAGAAGTGTCGATGTGAGCCAAGTGGGGAGGTGTTGTGTTCTGTGGCAGCCTGCCCTCAGACTGAGTGTGTGGACCCAGAGTACGAGCCGGATCAGTGCTGTCCAATCTGCAAGACTGGTGAGTGGGGACCATTTCTTTCAACAACACTGAGGTGAACACGTATATTCCAGTGTAACCAGTCTGCTAGTGGTGGCTGCTGAGTAGCTCCAATCAGAGCAGACTAGTGTCAAATGTTTTTGCTCAAGGGCACCTCAACAGGAGTTATGAGGGCAAGGTAGCACGATGCTCATTTTGCTGACGCAAAGCACGCAGCATGCTGCACTGCAGTGTTCACAGTCCCTTGCCATATCAGATTGCATATTTGAAGCATGAGATCTATTCTAATGAAGTTACACCAACAACTGTTGTTAATCAGCTATGACCCGCTTTGTATAAAACATTTGCTCATGTGTCATTTTCAGTCTTAATTTTCTCATAATTACTCAGTTTATCTGATGGAGGCTTTAGAGTAGGTTCCAAATCCGTCGCTGCTGCCTGGTACAGACTTTTTTTGCTGCTAGGAGTTGTAGGTTTATTATCCTGTTGGTCTAGGAGCTTTGGCCCGTCTGAGAAGAAGGAATTCTGCGGCTCAGAGTCGATTATCTGAAGTTGTTTCGGATGATTCCAGACAGCATGTCCTAGATTATGTCCCCTTGTTTTCTTGGTGTGACTCTAATGCAACATGGCAATGTCAGCAACATTGCTTCCTTCAGCAAAAAGAATGATGACTTGCGATATGTATCTCTGAGTTGGAATCTTAAAGTGGCGCAGGCTGTCTGCTATAAACAAGAGCAAGCAATTTGCATGAGGACAAAATCCCTGTGATAGAGACAAGCTATATGGTACATTCCACATAAAAATGCTTTGTCTGGATGAGGCACTTATTAGACAACACTACTGCCAATGTAATTTTTGAGTAAAACTGCAAGCACGACCTTTTGATTTTCATGCTGTTTGTTGGAACTGGGCATAATGATGAACACAAGAGAATAAGAAATAACAGATTGAGCAAGTGAATTTACCAAAACAAGGTTTATCCTCAAAAGAGACAAAACAATATTTCAAGAAGATAATTAAGCTGAGTGAAATAAACAAAAATGTCTACAAAACACCTTACTCAGCATATGTTCATTATAATTACACCCAGAATGTCAAATTAGGATGACTAATGTATCATTATAAAGCAATAAAACATTATAGACATAAGCATTTGCATGTAATGCATTTTTGTGACTAGTTATCAATCAGAGGTTGTCCAGCTCAAATTAAAGTCTGTCTCACAACCTCAAGAGACAATGAGTTGAAAGCATTGGTAGTCACGAAACGTTACTCGCTCTATTAATATTTGCCTGTTGTAATCTTGGGGAATACATGTTGGTCCTTTGTTCCCTTTTTTTTTTGCTGTTCCCCCACTTTTTAGATATGCACATATTGATCATGCTGAAAGTGCTTTGTGCAGAGGTTGGGCAGCGCTCCATATTTTCCCTGTGAAATGCTCAGTGGATTTGCTGGGTTACATTCGCAGGCACATCAGTCTCAGACACAGATGTAGATACAGTACAGTACGTGCATGAATGTGGCAGACTGAAGAGAGCGTGCATCTGCATTCAAAAGTCCCACCAAATCCACAGGCTCATCCAGCCGATAAGGATTTTGAGTTTTAAGATGGCATTAGTCCCCATTACCATAAGATTACCACACATTACCATTCAACAAACAAGGCTTACTATGCTTAAGATGCCAAGTTACCTGACCACAACTAACACTGTCACAGTCTGAATAAGAAATACTTTCTGTGGTTAAAGGGGCACTATCAGTTGTACACATGGAGACCAGTTTACTCATCAGGAGGAGTGCTACTCAGCCTGTGAAAACAGTTGTATAATGTCTTTCATGTCTCTCTCTAAACCTACACTTTAAACTGGGGGTGTGGAGTGTGAAATATGTGGGCTTTAACCAGGCAGAGATTGTTTTATACAGCTTTGAAGTGGGAGTAGCTGCTGGTTCTCAAGTATTGTAAATACCACTATATAGGGATCGGAAAAAAGACCCAGTTCCAGTTAAGAACTGGTTCAAAATTGGAATCTGAATCGTACACCTCTGAACTTGTCAGTTCCCTTAATCGATGCCAGCATGTTTTCTTACAGTTGCACATTGCAAATCAATGATGTCAAACTCACTCATGGGTTTCACTGCTTCCCAACCAAGCAGCACATCTGTTACCAAGGGTAAATATCCTGTTATAATGACATTAGCGCCACGCAGGCAGACTTAGCACATCTTTTCTTTGACTAAGAAAACAGTTAAACAGTAGTGCTCCTGCACACGAGTCACATTCCTTTTTTATATTCTGTTTCTACAGTGTGTTCAGACTCAAAGGTAATAAAACGGTTGTTATGACACTAAAAACCTGTGAAGGCCTACTTTTTTTCCCACACATTTGATTAGTTCAAGAATCAATGAGGGAATTGATAAAGAATTTGACTGATAAGCAGAACTGATAATGGCAATGTTCCTCAAGATACAAACACAGGAGTCGTAGGAATGATTTAACAATGCTATGGGATTATGCTATGGCCCCCGGTTTCAATTGTTTCATCTTTGTTTCTGAGAAGTCATGTTTTTCTGTCAGTTTGGCATGACTCTAAATACTACAATACACAAGAGCCCTGTCTGCTGTTACTGTGGAGAAAAAAGCGAGCAAATGCTTTGTCATTGAATGTCTTAACAAAACACAGCACCATAGTTGCTGAATTAACAAATTAATCTCTTTAAAGAGTTATCTGCATATTATGCAGAATCTGTTGGCAATCGAAAGTGTTCTGGTTTTCGTTTGTAGTATTAGTAGTATTGACCAGTCACATTTGAGCTGCAGGTAAACACTTGATATGGAGAGCAAAAGAGGTGGAACGCATTGGCTGAAATGCAATCTTGGGATCCATCAGGCAAGGTCTGAAGTTCAATTTTTTTCACTAGCTGACACTGTGGCAGGCAAGTATTTGATTTTTTTGTCCGCCCTGCCTCTCAGAAATTTTATTTGCCACCTTTGAAGTCTATGCACTAAATGAAGGATTAACTTTTAGATCATTAAGACATCATTTAATGCAAAGACTGATTTCATTCAATGTTTGATATTTACACAAAGAACATTATATGCGTGGTAAAATCCAGTGTTTAACCTAGTCTACAATGTAGCTTTTAGGGGAGCTCTATATCGGGGGGGGTGGGAGAGTATATTCACATGCATACACGTACAGTACAGGCCAAAAGTTTGGACACACCTTCTCATTCAATGCGTTTTCTTTATTTTCATGACTATTTACATTGTAGATTCTCACTGAAGGCATCAAAACTATGAATGAACACATGTGGAGTTATGTACTTAACAAAAAAAGGTGAAATAACTGAAAACATGTTTTATATTCTAGTTTCTTCAAAATAGCCACCCTTTGCTCTGATTACTGCTTTGCACACTCTTGGCATTCTCTCCATGAGCTTCAAGAGGTAGTCACCTGAAATGGTTTCCACTTCACAGGTGTGCCTTATCAGGGTTAATTAGTGGAATTTCTTGCTTTATCAATGGGGTTGGGACCATCAGTTGTGTTGTGCAGAAGTCAGGTTAATACACAGCCGACAGCCCTATTGGACAACTGTTAAAATTCATATTATGACAAGAAACAATCAGCTAACTAAAGAAAAACAAGTGGCCATCATTACTTTAAGAAATGAAGGTCAGTCAGTCCGGAAAATTGCAAAAACTTTAAATGTGTCCCCAAGTGGAGTCGCAAAAACCATCAAGCGCTACAACCAAACTGGCACACATGAGGACCGACCCAGGAAAGGAAGACCAAGAGTCACCTCTGCTTCTGAGGATAAGTTCATCCAAATCACCAGCCTCAGAAATCGCAAGTTAACAGCAGCTCAGATCAGAGACCAGATGAATGCCACACAGAGTTCTAGCAGCAGACCCATCTCTAGAACAACTGTTAAGAGGAGACTGCGCCAATCAGGCCTTCATGGTCAAATAGCTGCTAGGAAACCACTGCTAAGGAGAGGCAACAAGCAGAAGAGATTTGTTTGGGCCAAGAAACACAAGGAATGGACATTAGACCAGTGGAAATCTGTGCTTTGGTCTGATGAGTCCAAATTTGAGATCTTTGGTTCCAACCGCCGTGTCTTTGTGAGATGCAGAAAAGGTGAACAGATGGATTCCACATGCCTGGTTCCCACTGTGAAGCATGGAGGAGGAGGTGTGATGGTGTGGGGGTGTTTTGCTGGTGACACTGTTGGGGATTTATTCAAAATTGAAGGCACACTGAACCAGCATGGCTACCACAGCATCCTGCAGCGACATGCCATCCCATCCGGTTTGCGTTTAGTTGGACGATCATTTATTTTTCAACAGGACAATGACCCCAAACACACCTCCAGGCTGTGTAAGGGCTATTTGACCAAGAAGGAGAGTGATGGAGTGCTGCGGCAGATGACCTGGCCTCCACAGTCACCGGACCTGAACCCAATCGAGATGGTTTGGGGTGAGCTGGACAGCAGAGTGAAGGCAAAGGGACCAACAAGTGCTAAACACCTCTGGGAACTCCTTCAAGACTGTTGGAAAACCATTTCAGGTGACTACCTCTTGAAGCTCATGGAGAGAATGCCAAGAGTGTGCAAAGCAGTAATCAGAGCAAAGGGTGGCTATTTTGAAGAAACTAGAATATAAAACATGTTTTCAGTTATTTCACCTTTTTTTGTACATAACTCCACATGTGTTCATTCATAGTTTTGATGCCTTCAGTGAGAATCTACAATGTAAATAGTCATGAAAATAAAGAAAACGCATTGAATGAGAAGGTGTGTCCAAACTTTTGGCCTGTACTGTACATGCACGCCTACATGCAAAAATATAATATAGCTCAGTTTATATAGAGACTATCTAACTTGAGAAACAGAAATACTTTTACCATTAAAATGGTGTTGTTTTTCGTGGTCAGGAAGCACCTGTCTGCTCTGAGCGCATCCAATGTCAATCTCTCTTGACCGCATACTCACTGCGCACTAAACTATTCCTTCAGACAAAA